CCGTACACCAAATTTTCCCAAAAACGCCTGCAAGTGCCTTCTGATGCTTAAACCAGCTCAAGTCGCTGACACTAGGAACTGAGTTCCCACTAGAAAGAGGAGGGGCCAGAGGTAACCTGATTCCTTGGCAGGCCTCCCACCCCCACCCCCGGCCCCCGCCCCCAAGGCTGAGCCCGGCCCCACGGTGCAACTCCAGCCTCGTCCACCGGGTGGCGACCGCGGGAGCCCCGGAACAACCCGCGCCTCCAGCCCCGCCCCCTCCCCGGCCTCCTTGGCCAGGCCCTGTTTTCTGGCTCCCCTGGGACTGCACTCTTGCCATGAGCTCCCAGCCCTTGAACGGACCCCAGCAGCCACCCCGGCCAGGGTGGGCTCTGCTGACAGCCGGTGTGGCCTGTGGCCGGCAGCTTGCCCAGGGGGCATCAGCGGCACAGCGAGCTCCGGCCCACCCCCTAGGGCCGGAACGCGGAGGGCGCTCTCCCCTCGGGGCTCACCATCCCGGTGCTCGTGGGGCAGCCAGTGGTGCTGGGCATCGCCATGCTCGAAGTACAGGTCCCACTGCCGGCACTGCTCCTCGCGGAAGTCGGCCAGGGGGTCAGGGCAGTCCTGGGAGCTGCAGAGCTGGAAATCGTAGGCGAGGCCGGAGCAGGTGCGGCCCCCGTTGGCCGGGCTGGAGGAGAAAACAGAGGGGCTTTGTGGCTCGGCGCCACCAGGAAGAGGCCAGCACTCGGGGTGCCACTTGTGGGATCTGGGGGGCATCTCTGAGCCTTGGGGACTGAGGGGCAGCTCTGCTGACTGAAGGGACCTGGCCCTGCCCTGCCCCAGTCACAGGACCTGGATAATCCCCCAGGTGTCAGGGTCTTGGAGCATCAGGTGTGGAAGGGGTTGCTGTCTTCTCTCAGGGGTCCTGTGGGAAGGAGGCATCTGTGCAGCCCCTCGCACCCGCCACCCCCATCCCAGCTCCTGAGCTGTGGCTGGGGCCCAACAGTGAGCTGTGACGGGTGTCTGGGTTCTGCTGTGTCCCAAGTCAGAAGCCCCAGGGTGGAGGAGCTGGGTGAGCTTCCTCTACATCCAGGCCTGCGCCTGTCCCTCACACACACGGCGGCAGGGTAATTCTGAAATAGTAGAACCTGAATTAAGTGCTCGCTCTTAACAAGTGTTGGGCACACAGTGGACACTCCACCCTCTGGCTCTCCTCCACCTCAAGAAAACTTGGGCTGCGTTTCTGTAATGTCTTCACACTGCTGAGAACAGCACCAGCCCACAAAGCATTAATCCCACGGGAAAGGCACCGGCTGGTGGCCAGTAGGTGCCTCTGGCAGGCGGGGTGATGGGGCGCAGCAGGCCAGCACCCTGGGAGGAGCTGGGGGCTTCCGCTTCACCATCTATGAGATGCCAAGCAGAACCCAAGGCCCCACCTGAGACTTGGGCAAAGTCACGCTCTGCCTGTGACAAGGGGTGGTGACAGCACTGCAGAGTGGATGATGGAAGAAGCTGGCTTCCACGAGGCCCCTTGCATAGTGGTGCCTTGTTCTCAGGGGAAGTCGGTGGAAATAACCACCTGAGAAATTTGTGGAGAAAGAATCAAGAGGCCTCAGTGTTTGATGGGGATGGTGAAAGAAAGGGTGACTTTGAGATTTATCCCAAGGCCACTGAAGGGACCACAGACCAATGACAACCCCAACCAGGGCATCACCAGAAGAGGGTGCAGGCCTGTGTGTAGGTGTGGGGAGCCCAGGGGCATCGTGCAGCAGACTGCTGGGTCAGGAGACCAAGTTTCCAAGCCTCCAGGGCTGGCTCTGCCCCCAGCAGGCTGCGTGGCTTGGGGCATGAGCCCTGCCCCCCTCTAAGTGTCCTCCCAGGAGAAATGAGGAGGGGCCAGGACTGCCTGCCCTCGCACCCTCTCCAGAACTGGCATCCTCAGGGGCCTAGCAAGGACCCTTGGGGATAGCAGCTGCCACCCAGGAAGGCTGGGAAATATCAGGGCCGACTCACTGTGGGTTGTCGCACTGCCGGGTCCTAAACTTAACACCTGTGCCGCAGGTGCGCGAGCAGGAGCCAAAGGGACTCCAGGCGCCCCAGTTGCCATCTCGTTTGAGGATGTCAGGTGTCAGCCAGATGCAATGTCCTTTAAAGCAGTGCTGAAAGACAGACGGTCACTCCCTTGACCCATCACTCACATGTCCCCCACTCTGGCGATAACTGCCTGGCCCCGGAGGCACAGGGAGACCAGGCATGACTCACGCCCAGAAACTCAGAGCCCCGTCGAGAGGCCTGGTAGGACGCTGGCGCCCACCACCCCAGCCCCCTCCACCCAGCCTCCCCTTGACCACTGCCCTGGCCTCGCACCATCCTCAGGGCCTTTTGTTCAGCCTACTCTGTCCCCGCAGCCAGAGTCTGCCCCCCAGAGTCTGCCCAATCGAGTCTCCAGCATGATACCACAGGCCAGGGTGCCCACACGCGGCCAGTCATAAAGGTGCAAGTGGCCCATCAAGCCAGTGATTCCAGAAGCATGTAAGATCTACTTGTTTATGTTAAAAAAAAAGGCAACTTTAAGGAAATATGGAAACAAAGAACAAGTAATATGCCTACATGGTAGAAATTCATGAATAAAGGGAGGAGACCCCCGGAGCAAAGTCACGCTCAGCTCAGACTCAGGTCCGCAGGGTGAATCTGATCACACTGCTGCCCCGCCTGCCCCGGGGAGGAAGCTCACACGATCTAGGGTCCACTTGAAGAAGACTGCAAAATTAAAACTACTAAATTAGGTATAGAATGGAATCTTGATTTAGAATAAGAAAATATATCACGAAAAATTAAACATTTAAAAACTGACAAATACCACAAACAACCCAGAACAGAGAACGATGATTTTTTTCCAAGTAGATTGACAGACACAACCTTCCTGCCATTTTAACTATGTGCTCTTTCATCGCCTCTTCATACGACGATAGTTTTGAGGGACTGATTTCCACAGGGAGAACAGAAAGATTCTGCAGTCCGTCCTCAGCACGCGCTTTCGGTAAGGGCCAGATCTAACTGTTTTAGACTTTGCAGGCGACGTGATTTCTATTGCAATTACTCAACTCTGCCACTGGAGCATGCAGGTGGCTACAGAGGACATACAAATGAATGGATACAGCTGTGTGCTAATAAAACTTTGTTGACAAAGGCAGGCAGCAAATGGAAACTTCTAGAATGGAGCTGTGAGACGTTTGGTGAACTCTTTTCTCAGTAAAACAATCATTTAACTAGTGAAAATTACTTTCTAGAAACAACCATTTAAATTATCTGAAACAACAAAGACCTACTGTACAGCACAGGGAACTATACTTAATATCTTGTAATAACCTATAGCAGAAAAAGAACCTGAAAAAGAATCTGTCTACCTATATATGAATCACGTCGCTGTATACCTGAAACTAACACATTATTGTAAATCAACTATTCAGTAAAAAAAAAAAAGTATCTGGAAGTTGTCCTAAAGTCAGTAAAACTACTGGTGAAACATTTATTCAAGGAAATCTACTAAATCTTGGTAAGAATATTGAAAGTCTATGGCATTTGAGCCACAGCCCTCTCCCATTCCTTTCCCAGATCAGTGTGATGGAAGCTTTACTGCCTAAAAGACAGAGGTCCTGTCCCCTCAGCTCGCAGTCTAGGGCTATAGTTTCACCCTGGGAAAGGCAAGCCCCTGGCTTCTCCCATGTCTCCCAACTCTGTGTTGCAGACAATCTGTTCCAGGCAGAGGTAGCCAAGAGGATTGGAGCTCCTTTGCCCACCCCGTCTTCACCCACAGCAAGCCAGGAATACTGCACCCCGATAGCCCCTTCTCTGGCTTGCTTGTAGGGCAGAGGGTCCATGCTGAAGGGGAAAAGCCAAGAAGACCAGGGGCTACTTTCCCTATCCAGTGACCTATTTGTAGACCAGGAATGTCGCTCTGGAAGTGGACCAACCTGCTCTTAGCTCAAATGCAGTGATGCAGTGATCTTCCCAGAGGAAGAGGCAGAACAGAGAGCTCATAACTCACCCTACGGGGACTAACTTTATTTGGAACAGAGCTTAGGGAGTTCATGCCTAAGGGCATTGTCAAAAACAATAGAAATCTTGGTAGTGACCAATTAAGAGGAGACCAGTACCTCCACGATACCAGGGACAACAAGTAAAATGTTAAATCAAGTAGAAGTGTAACAGACAGAACCAGTGAAATGACAGCTAAGCGCCCTCCTGCGGTCTGAGCAAGCCTCAAATACTGGCAACACCCTGCCCCTGTGAGGGGTCCAGAGTTTGACTGGGTCAGGCTGTAGACAAATTGTACCCCAGGCATTATCAAAAACAATGCAGCCATCAGCTAGCAGCTCGTGAAAGCTCACTGGATGTGATACCAACAGAGGCAGAACAGCGGGGAGCTTGATGGGAAGATCGGAGAAAGAGGCAAAGAGAACCCAACTGATCTGAGAGTTTGGGGGTGGGGGTGTGGAGCTGTGTGGGCCAGAGTGACCATGCCCACGCCCAAGGTTGTGATCTCTGGGGGGCAGTATCACCAGCTGCACACTGCAGGGCAAATGCAACTTACTGAAACAGTGCAGCCAAGTCACTGAACAAGTAAACAGATAAATGAGCAAGCAAGAGTACAACAAGGTCCAAGGGAATCAATAGCTAATGTTTCTTCAATGACCAGTTTCAACAAAAATGTGAGACATGAAAAGAAACAGGAAAGTGTGATCTGTACATAGGAAAGTAAAGCAGGCAACAGAAATGACCTTTGAGGAGGCCCAGATGTTAGACTTAGCAGACAAAATTTCAGAACAGCTATTACACATATGTTCAAAGAACAAAAGAAAACCATGTCTAAAGAACTAAAGAGAAGTATAAGAATAATGCCTTACCAAATAGAGAGCATCGGGAAAGAGATAGAAACTGAAAAACAAACAAACAAACAGAAAACCAAAAACCAAAAAACTGTAGTTTAAAAGTACAAAAACTGAAATGAAAAATTTACTAGCAGACTCAGTAGTAGATTTAAGCTGGCCAAAGACAGACACCATGAATTTAAATATAGATTAATAGAAATTATGCAATCTGAAGAACAGAGGGGAAAAAAAATAAAGAAACATGAACAGAACCTCTGAGAAACATGGAAGACCATAAGTCCAATGAAATGTGCACAGTAAAAGTGCCAGAAAGAGAGGACACAGAGAAAAGAGTAGAAACTATTCAAAGGAATAGTGGTTGAAAACTTCCAAAATTTGATTAAAGACATTAACCTACGCATCCAAGAAATTTAACCAAGTATGATAAATGCAAAGGGATCCACATCCAGACACATTATAGTCAAAACATTGAAGGAGAAAGCTAAAATGTCAAAAGCAGCAAAAGAAAAATGACTCATTGAGCACCCAATAAGATTAACAGCTGACTTTTCATCAGAAATAGTGGAGACCAGAGACAAGGCTGTCAACAAAGAATCATATCCAATGAAACCATCTCTCAACAATGAAGGTGAAATAAAAATATTCCCAGGTGAACAAAAAATGGGAGAATTCATTGCTAGCAGACCTGCTGTATAAGAAACACTAAAGGAAGTTATTTAGGCTGAAAGCAAATGATACTGGAGAATAATTCAAATCCACATGAAAAAAGAGAGTACTGGAAATGGACTAATTTCTAGAAAGATACAGACTATCAAAACTGATTTAATGAGATCTAGAAAATCTGAATAGATCTATAACAAGTACAGAGATTGAATCAGTGATTTAAAACTTCTCACAAGTAACAGCCCAAGCCTGGGGGGCTTCACTGATTAAATTCTACCAAACATTTAAAGAAAAATTAATACTAATCCTTTGCAAACTCTTCCAAAAAATGAAAGAGAAGATTTTCTCTATTCATTCTGTGAGGCTAATAGTGCCCTAATACTAAAATCAGACAGAGGTATCACAAGATAAAAACCACAGACCAATATCTCTTATGAAAATACTTAAAAATCCTCAACAAAATTCTATCAAACCAAAGCCAACAGCATAGTAAAAGATTATACACCATGACCAAGTGAAATTTATTATGGGAGTACAGGGCTTAACATCTGAAAATCAATCAATGTAATAAACTATGTTACTAGAACAAAGGAAAAACTACGTGATCACCTCAAGACTCAAAAAATAAAACCGGCAAAATCCAACACCCTTTCTTGAAAAAAACACTCAAGAGACTAGGACTAGAAGATGAGTTCCTCAACCTGATAAAGGACATCAGTGAAGTACCCCAGCTAACATCATCTTAATACTGAAATAATGAATGTTTTCCCTTACGATCAAACAAGACAAGGGTGTCTACTCACACTACTTCTAGTCAATATTGTACTGAAAGTTCTAGCCAGGACAATTAGGCAAAAAAAGAAATAAAGAGTATCCAGATTGGAAAAGAAGAAGTAAAATTTTATTTGCAGATGAAATGATACTCCGTATAGAAAATCCTAAGGAAGCTACTGAAAAATTATTAAAGCTAATAAAAAATTTCAGTGAGATTGCAGTATGCAATATCAACATACAAAAATCTATTGTACTTCCATAAACTAGCAATGAATGAACTGAAAATGAAATTAAGACAACAATTCTGTTTACAATGGCATCAAAAAAGAAAAAATCTTAGGAATAAATAGAATGAAAGAAATGCAAGACTAGTACACTGAAAACTACAAAACATTGTTGAAAGAAACCAAAGATCTAAGTAAATGGAAAGACATCCCATGTTCATGGATATGGCAATATAGTCATACCTTGGAGATATTGTTGGTTCAGTTCCAGACCACCAAAATAAAGCAAGTATCAAATAAGGTGAGTCACATGAATTTTTTGGTTTCCCAGGGCATATAAAGTTATGTTTACACTATACTAAAGCCTATTAAGTGTGAAGTAGCATTATGTCTAAAAAAACAACAAACGTATCTTAAGAATATTTTATCACTTAAAAGTTCACAAGCAATAAATGCTAGAGAGGATGTGGAAAAAAGGGAACCCTCCTACATTGCTGGTGGGAATGTAATTTGGTGCAGCCACTGTGGAAAACAGTTATTCTTACACCTGGACAGATACAACAACCCAACACTATTGAAGGTGTTGAAAACCATGTAAATAAGCCA